CTTCAAGTGCATTCGCCCAAACATTCCTCCCGCAGAATCTCTTGGGTCACCCCCCACGTAGCTTCCTGTGACACTCATTTCGATCACCTATATATGATACGCCCAAACGCTTTACATTACATATACCGTATAGACCACCACACGGAACACACTATATAAAATTCCTCATAGGGTACGCTTGAGAATACCTCCTCTGCATACCTTAAATGATTTCATGTAGAATACCGTAATTCTAAAATACCTTAATGCCTTATTGAATACGCTATGACCTATACATTCCCACAGAATACATCATTTATTTTGAGGAAAACCCCGTATATCTACGCTATTGAGTACCTACACAATAACTGATGGAATACCCTATAGAATACCACACAGAATACGGCACAAAATGCATTATAGAATATATACTACCCTGGATACACCGTAGAGTGTAGATGACCATCCGGAACACTCGAAATAATACGTTGTAAGCGACCTTCTACACATGATATCTTCATGCTGAAACTTGTCTTAGAATACCTCATGAATACAGGATACATATAAGGACAATCAGGTGGAGCCCAGGCCCAATGTTTGAGAATTCCCCGATTGAATTGTAGCTTATTGAGTAGGAAAATTATGTGAAGGAAAGCTGGAGGAATCTTGAGTCTAGGAGTTCTTGGACTACATCGAAGCTTATCTAGTAAGGGTTTAAACTCATATAGGGATTCGTCATAGACTACCCTTACATATACATATTACAGCAGACCTTCTGCAATGCTTTCTTTGTGGAATACTGTATAGCCATATAGAATACCCAAAGAAAATCAGGCGTGCAGGATTTGAGACTTTGAGTCATAATTCGAAGCTTATTTAGTAAGAGGACTATGTAAGAGAACGCAGGAATCCATGATGTAAGAACCCCCTTTACAGGTTCGAAAAGGGATTTTACATGGGTTCAGGAATCCAGGATTTGAGGCTTCCTCGAATCCAATGAAGCTTCATTAGCAGGGTATGTATAGTTTAGCTGCTAATTATACACGATATGTCTTACAGTCCTCTATGTAGTCTTATATTTAATCTCAATAGTTCCCTAAATTCCTTACATTTTCCCCACTGCTAGGATTCCCTAGTTCCCGAAATTTCCTCCTAAATTCGATACTCCCTGGCCCCCATGTCTTGGGTTTAAGGATGTCTTGCGTTCCCTAATTCCCCAAACTCTGCCCCCGTGTCCTGCACTTGCATTTAAATATTTACAGTACATACGGCTGAGGGTTAAGGAATTTAGGGAATTCAAGAAATTTAAGGAGTTTAAGGTTTAAGGAATTCCCTAATTCCAGCACGTAGGGCCAGGGGTTTGGGAATCTACGGAATTTATGGCGCAAACATGTTACTGCACTGCCTCTGCTGCACATGTCCTCGTCTTTGTATGCATGTATGTATGTATGTATGTATGTATGTATGTATGTATGCATGCAAAAGAGGGACACACACACATACACAGGCATACACTCTACACATGTATATATCCAACAGCGCACAACACAGCAAAAAGGTAGGTACCGGAGGGGGGGGGTTGCATATATATATATATATATATATACACATATGTATAGGTACGAGACATACTGTGGTCTTCACCTCACCATCAGCTAGGCAGCCAAGTTCAAGGCCTTGTTACCGGCATCACCATCGTCGTCGTCAGCATCAACATCATGATCGTGATCACCACAATCACCGTCATCATCATTTTTTCACTAATATCGTTAGCGTCATCATCTCCATGAGATTTACACCATCACCACCACCACCACAAGAAGAAGCAGCAGCATTGTAGCATCATCAGCTCACTATTATGTAGGACCAAAGCTCATAGCAGACAGAGCAATAGCCTAGCAGCGACAGGGGCAGAAGTGTGACCGTAGTTGATTGGAGCGCGAGAAATGAAGGAGACACAGTCAAGGATGTCCAAGACGGAATAGGGTGGATGCACTAGCACCAAGGATTCTCGGCGAGGTGCGCTTGTTGGTCGACCAGACACCTTGCCACTCATTTTTTGTTGGACGGGTCTTGCAATGAGTGTCGAAGCTAGCTGCGCTCATGACCTGAGGACGTCTTGCCACGACGCCTTGCCTAAACCCTCCTTACCCAAAGGGTCTAAGTACCCATATAGTAGGTATTTTGGGCCCCAAAGTATCTACCATATTAGTACTTAGACCCTTTGGGTTACCGTCGAGGTTGGAGGCTGAAGGTTCGTTTGTTAAGTAGATTTGGAGGGGAGGGAGATGCAGGCGCCTGCTGACAAGAAACCAGCCTCGCCCGCATCGTCCGAGTAGCGGGCGTCCAAACCCTCCTCGTCCTCGGTAGAATTGGTGTTTGTGACGAAGTCGGAATCCCCCTAAACCCTGAAACCTAAACCTTATACCCTGTGTCCCAGTTGCGAGTGCTGAAACCCGATACCCTCATTGAGCTCCTGAGGACCCTGAGCCCTCAGTCGCAAAGCTCCAAGGTGTCAGACTGGACGGCACCCTCTAATCTCAAGTTTGAATCCTTCAAGGAACTGGATTTGTGTTTTTTGGAGGCAAGGCCCAAAAGATATCTCAAAACTTAGGCCTGGAAGCTCAAAAATCGAATCTTCGAGGTCTCTCCTGCATGGGAGCCATGGCTCAGTTCAGAGCCCTCTTGCCAAAGGTGAAGGCGCACCGGCTTAAGGCTTATAGACTTAGGGTCTAAGGTTTATAGGGTTTAGGGTTTATAGGGTTTATAGGGTTTATAGGGTTTAGGGTGTAGGGTGTTGGGTTTAGGGTTTAGGGTTTAGGGGTCTAGGGTTTATAGGGTTTAGGGTTTATAGGTTTGAGGAGTTTGTGAGACAAAAAAGGTGTTTGTTGGTTTTTGTCCTTCTTACCTAGCTCGGTAAGCTAATGGCTGATTGAAAGCGAACGATCGGTTGCATTGGGGCTTGGGGCTTAGGCGGTGCTCGGAATTGGTGGACTTCGCAGAAGTATTAATTCCTCAGAGATTTCGAGCCTGTGCCTGGACAGTTGGCTCCCACGCCCTTTCAGGTCCAGGTAGCGCCGGTAGGAACCACCTGGACCCAAAAAGTATGTAGAATGATAGCCTTTTATGGGTTTTGGGCCATTATTTTACCTATACTTTTAGGGTCCAGGCAGGAGTCCTGCTTATATGGACCATGAACTGTCATGGACATCTTGTCCTTAACATTCCACTAGCTCAGCTGCGCGGAACCTGAACTTGTCTTGGTGGCGAGCCGGGCCTTACATCATCCAGTCAGGTATTTTGTGGGGCGGGTCTGTGTTTCACCGGTTACTTGCGTCGGGCCGGGCAGATCTAGGCGTGACATCGAAGAGCTTCGCATAAGGCCCCTAGGTCCTGAAACTCGCGGAACTCTCTTTGTGGTTGACTGGCCTCGGCAGGGTGGGTTCGTTGTGGCGTCCTTGCATGTGCGAAAAGTGAAGTCGAGACCCGAGGACAGAACGCGAAGACTCAAACCAGATGCAAAAAAGGAACCCGAATGCAGAAACGTTGGTCGTAGAACCTTCGCTGTAGGAACTCTGAAGAATTTTGGAAAGCCCCTACAAGGTCAGCTGCCACTTCGTACGACTGTCTGCTCGGCGTCGGGCCGAACGCGACCAGTGTTTGTTGCCTTCCTGCACCTGTCGTTCAACGCACTTGCAATGGTCGGTCAATGAATCGTATAAATTCAGTTTTACTTGTAGGAGGTTGTGACTATAACACCAAGTAGATGTCTTAGTAGTAACTGTCGTCGTGCTACGAATAGGGTAGGTAGGCGTCGCTGTGGCTTTCGTGCGTGGCAGTAGTGCTGGCTTTCTGCGGGCATGCCAGGACGGCTCCTTTCCTGCCATGAATCTGCGGCATAAACCTTGCACATGTCGGCACGAGTGGTGCTTGCTGTCAAGCGGACTCACGGATCAAGCGCAGTGGGTGGTCCGGCATCCATCTTTCTGAGGCCGTCCGTGAAGCGGGAGTCGCGCACGTACTCCATCTACGAGGGAGCGGATCTTGCTTTTGTGATTCCTTGTATTGATTGCTTCCTTCTGTGAGTGTCACGATGAACGCCATCCACTCTGTCGGTATTCTCGCATAGCATAAACCCGCTCCTTCGCGCATCCCGACTCCCACTTGACACCGGTTTGCCAATTTGCTGATCCAATCTTTCTGCATCACGCCGAAGCCCTGCCGCAGGAGTGGAGTCTGCCGTAACGATGACCGGATCGGAGCCCTCAGGCAGAGCTCTAAGCCCCCCACCCCCCAGCATTGCAAAATGTCAATCAGCTCCTGATGTTAAGGTCGATGTCAATCAGCTCCTGTGCTAAGCAGTCCAGTACGAGCCCTGAAAAAACTGTCTGGATGTTTGCAATCCGGTATCGCGACGAGACTCTGCCAGCTTAGCCGACAAAGCGTTGTGCCTTCGTTCCAGTATAACCTTTCCGATGAGAAATTAAGCCTGACCCGCAAGCCCTGCAGCGACCCACTCCCCACGAGACCAAGCCTAGCCAACACTCGCCTTTCCTTGAATCCTCGGCATTGGACAAGCCCGAAGCTCACACGTCGAACCTTCCAATAGCCCACAGCGTAAAGGCAACAGCTTTTGTCATAGCATGCTGCCCGTAATCCAGATTGCTAAAGTAGCACGACGAATATCATCCACGATTGCGACTCCGGTTATTGCCACTACGGTAGCCTTGCAGCTGTGCCACTACCAGTACTGTTGCTACTACTGGTGCTGGACATACTACTGCTATTGCTGTTGCCTGAAGCCCTAAACCTATCCCAGTCATGAGAGCCTCCTAAGACCGTTTGAGGGAACCCCTTCTAACAACCTCAAGGAAACCACACAGATCAAGATGAACCCCTGTTAAGTTCAAATCAGACAGCATGGCATCAATCCACCCTATGACCCTAAACTGACCCGAAACCCTAAATACTCCAGTACATCACGGGGTTCGTCCTGGCTAGCCTAAAACCCTGAAACCCCCAAACCCTAAAACCCTAAAACCTAAAACCTAAAACCCTTAACCCTAAACCCCAAAGCCCTTAACCCTAAACCCCAAAACCCTTAAACCCCCAAACCCTAATTGTAAAGCCCTAAACCCTGTTGCGAGTGCTGAAACCCTAAAACCCCTAAACACTAAAACCCTAAAGCCCTAAACTAAAATCCTAAAACCCTAAAGCCTAAACCCTAAAACCGTTAACCCTAAACCCCCAAACCCTTAACCCTAAAGCCCTAAACCCTTAAACCCCCAAACCTTAATTGTAAAACCCTAAACCCTGTTGCGAGTGCTGAAACCCTAAAACCCTAAACCCTAAAACCCTAAACCCTTAACCCTAAACCCCAAAACCGTTAAACCTAAAGTCCTAACCCTAAAACCTCCAAACCCTAATTGTCAAACCCTAAACCCTAGTGCTGAAACCCTGAAACCACCCACCCTAAACCCTAAAACCCTAAAGCCCTAATCCCTAAAACCCCCAAACCCAAAGTGTGACAGCCGAAACCCGAAAACCTAAACCCTAAACCCTAAACCCTAAAGCCCTAAACCCTAAACCCTAAACCCTAAACCAAGAAGAACGCTTAAAGGCGGCCCTCGGCTGGAGGGCGCGCTCCGCGCGCTCCGCCTGGGCCTTCGCGAGGCCGGTGCCGAGGAGGCCGCCTGGGGTCTTCGGTCATAGTGAAGGGTTTTAGTGTTTATTCCCCAACAGCGGATACGC